GCGACTGTTTCACAATCAGCTATGAGCTGTTAAACACAGACTCTCTGACAAACAAATACACTGGTTTTAATTATACTACTTTTATCAGTAAAAGCTGCCTATGGCAGCTTCCTCCTGCTTCCTGCGGTGCTTTTGTCCCTGATTGCTGGCTGTGTGTCATGATGTGCCACCAGTGTAGAGGCTTTATGGGTTTAAACCCCTAATTTTTCCATTGATGCTTATTCACTGTTATTTTTGCATTAAGGTTTTGTCCCAAAAAATCTTTCTCTCCTCCTCCATGTGCTCTCATTACAAGGTTCACTGCAGTTTGTCAGGAAAATACATATTTTAAATTATTTTTACTACAAGTATTTTTTTCTTTCTTACCTGCACCAGTAACACTTTTATATATCTGTATGTATTTATAGTCACACTTACAGCTTTTCAGTGTATTTTCTGTGTATTCTGGTAGCCAAGTAACAACATTTTGTTGCCAAATTCACTGTGWCTTTGTGCACTGACACTAGAGTAAGTCTGAGTTCCAGCTTTGAAAAATAATGYGTGTTGGGACAGTAAGGACATGTTTGAAGTTAACCACATGAGCTTTTATGTGGAATAAGTTTGTCTGCAGCTTTTAATTTCGGACCAGTTCTGGCTGCAGTAATAATTGTGTTTCTACTTAATCATAAAAGCAAACACATCAAGTTCATTTTTATGTTTTTGTTTATAATTCTAGTACTTTTACTTAAGATTATCAGATCACCTGTGCCTAATTTTCACTTTTATCAAACCACTAAAACTGATGACTTGTGTCCTAGCAGCAGCTTCTCTTCAGAAAAATGAGTCTGTTTTTAGCTGCAGATGCACTTTGCTGTATGGAAAATGAGAGAGGCGAGGCAGCTAGGGCTGCCACAAACGATTATTTTTATAATCGATTAATCACCGATTATTTTTTTTGATTAGTCGACTTATCGGATCATATGTTACTTGAATATAAAACATACAGCTTATTGTGCCAGAATGCAGCTGTTATTATACAACCATCATTAGATTTTAGCTATATACTAACTAAAAATAATTGCTGTGGAAGGCAAGTTATGCCTTGCAGATATTGCACAGGTTTCTCTTTCATTTTCTTAAAATGATCCCACACTTTTAAGCTCCGTTGTCAGATAGCCATGATACCAGAGCCTGTCTGTATAATGTCTTGTGACGTCCACGGCCTACCCCAGTTACCACTACTGTGCATGTGTGTCAAGGACAGAAAGGCAGATGTGGCATTAGAAGGTGTCAAAGCAGTTTAGAGAGAAAAACAAAGTAAAGAACAAAGAAAAAAAGAAAAYGATTAATCAATTATTAAATTAGTCATTGATTATTTTAATAATCAGTCGTCGACTAATCGACTAATCATGGCAGCCCTAGAGGCAGGTCAGCTTCTGTCTAGTGTCCAAGAGGCACAGCAAAACACCACATACCTTAACACATCTCCAGTATCAACAGACTGCAGGTCAGCAGAAAAGAGTAAGAAGCAGCAGTTCTCACAAGCGTCAACACATTTGCTGATATTCACTGTCGATGTAATGAATATTTGCTGTAAGGTTTGCATAATATTTCATCCTCTGATCCTTCCGACATTTTACCAAAGGGCATGATGGCGGGGAAAAGCAGTCCAGAGCAGTGCAGAGATTTGCATTCTTCTCTACCACTGCTGCAGAACATCTCTGAAATATTTCAGGACTGCAGTTCATGTCTGAAAACGCCTTTAATTAACAATTTTTAACAAGAATTCAGATGTACGCTAAAAGAAATGTTTTTTTTTCATCGGTTTGTTTTTAATCCTCAGTCTACTTTGGTTCTAGTTTAAGTTTTAGACTTTATACAGTTTGTGGTGTTTGTGTAGAATCACCTGGGTGTTTTTTCATTTGTCTGTCTGTTCGCAAAATATCTCATAAACCACTGAGCAGATTTTTTAAACATTTTCAGAACACCGTCATTGGATGTGCATCTAGAGATTAACATTTAAAGCCTAGCTAAATTAGAGATAGCTGCCACAGAAAGCGGCTTTAATACGACATTGAGCTAAAACTTGGTAGTAGCTGAGCACAGGAAACCGTGGGATGAATCTTGGCAGGCTTTTGATTTTATAAACAATATTATTCTGATAAAAATCTTTTTTGACGGCCAAAACATTTTTCCTGAAACCAGGTGTTGTCTGGTGTCTCCTCAGCAGTGAAAGTAGTCTCTCTGGCTGGAGCATCCTGTGTCGACATTCTTTTGGGCCGGGGTTTGGGTTACATATTCATGGTGTTAGTGTTTTCTGAGCAGGAGCAGAGATCAGTTGAAGGAAACTTTTGTGTGGCATCTGGCAAAGCTTTAGGCTTCTTGTTTCACAGTAACCTGGGCCACGGGCTACTCTGTCAACTTTGTTGTGAAGAGCCTTTGATTTCTGGAGGAAGAGGAGGGACACGCCTAGTCCCACACAAAGCCCGCTGCGCATACCGCACCAAGTATCCTCTGTCTGTTAATGACTCACTCGCTTCCCTGTGACTTACTTCCATCGTCCTCTCCTCTGTGTGGGGGGCTCGCTGGCTTACGTTTTGCAAGGCTAGGCTTTTGTGTTTGAGTATTAAGATAAGGGAAAGATTAACTGACATCGTGTGAAGGACAAGGAACAGTTCATAACTCGTAATGTTTGTGCAAAACCTTAGAGAGGAAGAGTCTAGTGTTCTAAAATCATTAAATCCTTGAAGTGCTTGTTCTTTAGACTTCAAGAACAAATAAGCTGGACTTCCTCTGCTGATCCGAGCTGAAGGTTTCTGAAAAGAGGGCAGTTTTTACAGTAAGTGCTGTGTTGCAAATAAAGGTCAGATTGTTGAGCCACAAGGAACTCAGAGTCAGGGACCTCCAAAGGAGAGAGACAAGGCTGCCTACTGTCAGAGGGGCAGGGGGGCCGATCCCAGGCCTCCGAGGAGTGGGCCTTCTGCCAGACGGGCTTTAAGGAAAGAAGCCACACCGAACAGCAGACCCTGTTTTATTTGTTTTGTGAACAAATGGTAACAGTTCTATTAAGCTTGATTACAGCCAAAATCCAAAATCTTACAAGCGGTGTAATTACACACTTGTTGAAGAAGTGGGCATGGAGATTTATTTACAGCTTTCGGTGTTTTTTATGTGCTGTGACTTTATTTTTCTAAACTGTGCATTGAAAATACAAACCAGAGTAATTTGGGGCTAAAAGGATGTGGATAAATATCATATGCAAGAGCATGAATCTTTTTTAACTGGAGTGAAGTTGTCTTTAGAGTAAATCCATGTAAAATCCCATGAACAGTCTTGTACATTCAAGCCTCCTCTACTTTTCACTGTGTATTTCCCAAATGTCTGTAGACTCATTTCCTGCCACCTATCCTGCCCCTTCAACACCCCCTCTCTTTCGTCTGCAGGCGCTTGAACTGTGTGTTGAAACAGAGGAATATGGTTTCCATCCAGTGAATGGGCAGCTTTGTGAGGAGCTGAAGAGAATGGCTCTGTTTACAAAATAAACGTTGACCATARCACAGTGGTTTTAAACTCCATCCTTTAGAAAATAAAATAAAGTTGACTTAGATCTTCTTATAACACCTTTGTGTTTGGCTAATTTAAAAAGCACGATTTAATTATTTAAAAAGAAGCAGGAAAAACAAAGCAAAGACTGGAAACATTTTTTGAAATTGCCTGCCAGGTTTTGTCTTCATGCTTTGCTGCACAGTTAATTATTTCTGAAAGTCTTCGTTAGGGGTTGATGTTTTGCTTATGAGCCAAATGGAGCAGTGCATTTTGTGCAAGTAATGGATTACTCAAATAAAACTGTAGGTATCTGTACAAGTAAATATTTTAAAGGGATCCACGATTAGTTGTAACATTAAACTTTATTTGATAAACATTTATT